TCTCTTTGCGCTAAATACATATATTCCCACACCAATGAGTATCACCATGAGGTGGGATATTAAAATTTTAGTCCCAAATAAACTGCTTTGTTTGTTTGTTTTTGTTTCCACAATCGAGCCACTAAGATTAATCCTTCCTTCTTCTCTATGTGTTGCAGTGACTGCAGAGACGGGCCATCCTGATCATCAGCACCAAGACGACGGCGACACCTCCATCGAGAGCCAAGCGGACGTTGCATCAGCGACGGTAAATATACATATATATATATTGTATATCGTTGCATTACCTTGAAATCCGTCACGTGTACACCCGCGTTTTGTTATTCTCTCTCCTCCGGTTTTAGCTGAAGCTAATCTTTCCGCGATTGAGTTTAATTGTGTGTGGAGTATAACGATACGTAGCCGTGGTGGTGGAGATAAGATCGATAATTTTTTTTCTTTTTCTTACATCTCTGACTTGCAAAGGCGACGAGATAAATAAGTAATGCACTCTACTCGTACATATTTTTGTGCGCGTGGCACGAAAAAAAGACAAGAAGAAACAAAAAAAACATTTGAAATTCCCTTCACCCCCCAGTTTCCAAATACAACGACACGCTTTTTTGTCAACGTATCACAGATCTTTGTTGCACAGCAGCTATATGTATTGTATAATATACACGTTTGACGTTCAAACAGGTTGCCGATCGACAACTGCAGCAGCAGCCAGGGACCCCTGGCGCCAGTTACACCTGTCCAGCCTGCCCGGTCGTCCTGACGAGCCCACGCGAACTGACAAACCACCTGCGAGGCCACAACTCGCCCCGGCACACGGGAGGTGTTGGCACGACCTCGGACGGCGGCAGCGGGGCCGAGGACGCGGATTACGTCTGCGGCGTCTGCCAGAAGCAGCTGAGCTCGGCCAGCTCGCTCGACCGGCACGTGCTCGTCCACTCGGGCGAGAGGCCCTTCCGGTGCGTCCACTGCGACATGTCGTTCACTACCAACGGCAACATGAACCGGCACGTGAGAACGGCCCACGGCTCCTTGTCCCCCGGCTGCCACAGTTGGACCGACTCCGAGGGCGGAAGAGCCGGCGGCAACGCCCACAGCGACGACAGCGGCAACGAGAGGCCCCCGTTCAACGGCAGTTCCTCGTCGACGAGCGTCATGGACGCGTACAATAACAACGAGACCAAGGAACGGCTCAGCAAGCGCAAGCGCTACGACAATTACGAGGAGCCAAGGGAACGGGCTCGCCCTCGGGATACCATAGAGGTCGACGATGACGAGGAGGAGGATGAGGAGGAGGAGGATGATGGGCTGGACCGGACACCGAGTAGCGGTAAACGCAAGCTGCACTCGTACTACAATGGGCCTGATGCTCCTCTTGGTGCTTCGCCGTCATGCAACACGGTCGTGGGTTTCGGGGACCTCGTCCACCTGGACATTACCTCGAGAAACTTTCCGGTTATTGCGCGCTATGAGTGCGAGAAGACGCTACACAGGCCGGTCTCCGGCGAACTCGCCAGGTACCTCTGTCCCAAGTGTCCCAGGGCGTTTCCGTGCCAGTCGGCGCTCGACGATCACGTGATCGATTGCCTCGCGTCGACCACGTCACCGGACAAACGGCTCTACGGTGTTCACTGTAGAACTCCGACTGCCACGGCAGCTACTACCGCCCACAACAACGGCTACGGTAACATCGCTGCTACCGGGCAGGAGGACTTTTTCGCCATGCTGAACTTGCAAAACAAGTCCGCGAACGCGGCTACGGGTACGGTTGGCGTTGCTGAGAGCAACAACAACAACAAGAACAACAACAACAATTGCCAAGGAGAGCTGGCCGACATCCAGAGCATACTGAACGTGACGGCGCACACCTCGAGTATGCTGCAGCTGCGCGCAAAAGCCGGGACGCCCGACAATTGTCCGGTGAGGCAGCGAGGATCGTCCCAGGCTTCGGGCTCCTCGGGCTCGTCAAGCACGCCCCAATCCAACAACGACCATGGCAACGAGGAGGAGGATCAGGACGTCTTTGCCGCCGAGTTTCGCAAAATGAAGCTCAAGGGTGAGTTTCCCTGCCGGCTGTGCAACAGTATATACCCGAATTTGCGGGCCCTCAAGGGCCACAGCCGAATTCACGTCAACACGATACCCGGCAAGCCGTTCCCGTGCAACATATGCACGTACGATTGCGTCGACAAGAACGCCCTGATGAAGCACATGAAGTCTCACAACGGACCGAGACCGTATCAGTGCTCGATGTGCAACTACTCGTTCACGACAAAGGCCAATTGCGAGAGGCACGTGAGGAACAGGCATGGCAAGTTGAACCGCGAGGAGGTCAAGAGCGTGCTCATCTACCACCCGAGCGAGGACTCGGCCAACGACCAGGTCGACTCGATGACTACGACCTCTTACTCGCCTCGCGCGGCAGACGCTGTTCCCCGGGACGAGGTGCGCAAGGTCCTCGAGTACCAAAACGACGTTCGCGATCAGCCGCAACAGATCCAACAGCCAGTGCTGATGACGGGGGTGCAGCTGTCGCAGCGTCAGCCCTCTGTCGTGCACCTGCAACACGAGAGCCGGTACAGTGGCGTTGACGTCTTTCAAAGGCCACCGAGCATACATCGGCCCTTTGAGCTTACCTATAGAGTCGATGAGCTGTTGCAGCGCCAAAATAACCAGCCGAACGACGCCGATGTCGACGACGACGAGGACAATGACAACGGCGATAACGACGACGAAGAAGACGACGATGCGTATGCTACGGATTCGGACGGCAGTTCTTCATCTCTAGTCAACCAAGCGAGCAAACGCGACTCTGGGAGCTCTCCGCTGCTCGAGAACATCTCCGCCGAGCCCCTCGACCTTACGGTAGATCTTACCGTCTTGGATCTTAGCAAAAAGAGCTCCTCTAACTTGACCAAGTGGCAGAAAGATTGCACCGACAGCAGCAACAACACTAGCGTTAAAATCGAAGACAACAACAACACCACTACCGTGAGCGTCAAGCAGCGGCAACAGCAGCAGCGCCACGAGGACAACATTTACAACTCTCAGAAACAGCAGCAGCAGCAGGAGATGCTGCTCGCCCAGGCGTACATGAAGGCAAACCAGATGACGGCCCAGCCGGCCATGCTCGAGAGCCTCTACCCGGGAGCGCAGCTGACCTACCCGAGCACTTTTGCTGGCTTTCCAAACGCTGGTAGCCTCCTGCAGCCGTTTGGGGGGCTCTTTAACCCCCATCACCACCAGCTGTTTGCCGGCAACACACCGGACATGACGATCAACGGACCCCTCTACAAGGAGCTAGTGCGTGGCTTACGTACCAGCGGGGGTAGCCTCGTCGAGGCCCCGGCCACGAGCAGCAGCGGCAGCTATCCACCCTCTTCGGTGAACCAAGCGACAACTGTAACTGTCGTTCCATCGGCCGGTCCGAGTCCCACGGGTAGTAACAGCAGCAAGTCCACCATGACCAATTGCAAGGCATCGACCGCCTCAATGGCCACGACGAAGCTGATCATGAAGAACGGAGTACTCATGCAGAAGCAAAAACAGCGACGTTACCGTACAGAGCGGCCATTTAGGTGCGAACACTGCGGACATGGGTTCACGTTGCGCAGCAACATGGAGCGACACGTCAAGCAGCAACACCCCCAGTACTGGTCCCAAAAGCCAAGAGGCACAAACTCGACTCGCGGCAGACCACCGGCGAGTCACCAACGCCACCCGCCCACTCTGCTGCAGAGCTTGAAGCAGCCGGCTCCGCGGCAACTGTACCAGCCGTACCCAACCGTTGCCCATCAGATAGAGGTGCGCTATATTTTGACCTATACCTTGTTTGAGCTCTGATTAAAGTTGTTCGGACGATTGATGTTTGAAAATTATTACTTTCGCATTTTTTTCTTTTTATTACGAACAAACTGTGCATACATTTTTTTTTTTTTTTTTTTTTTTTATCACATTGGCAAAATACAATTATTTGGATAGTTAAAAAAAAAAAAAAAAAAATTGCATTCGACCGAAAAGAACTTTTTTTTTTTTAATACGTTAGTATTTTATCACATTATTGTGTAAACTAATTGCCAATTTTCTTCTCTCTTCCACCCAGCAGCAGGCGTCGGATAGCCTGGACGTCCTGGAGAGACATTCGACCATTTCCGAGCAAGTAAAATTTGCCATCCTCGCGCAGCATCAAAAGGCCCACAGTAACGCCATAAAGGCCGGGGAAAACGACACCACTGAGCAACAGCTCGTGATCGACGAAGAACACGCAAACGATCTGCGCACGAGCAGCAAAGCCATGAGTCTACTTAGAGACAAGCTCGAAGCCAGGTTCGAGCCCCATGAGAAACAGATCAACAACAGCTGTATCAAGCAGGAGAATCGACAAGAAAAGCCTGAAGATAATGATGTGGACGGCGACAACGAGGGGGACGAAGAGGAGGACGAGGACGAAGTCGGCGAGGTCGGAAATTGCGCCAAGCGACAAGTCATAGATCCGATGACGATCGTCAAGACGGAAATCCAGGCGGTCGCTTGCAAGAATGAGAACGGGAGTAGCGAAGGCAACGAGGATCTGTCTAGTATCTCCGTGATGCTGAACAATGCGTCCCACAATTACCAGCAGAACTTTCACGCGCAATACATGAGCGAGGAGGAGGGCCTCGTCGCCCCGCTCAGCGACCACTCGGGCAGCGACTCGGTCAACTCGCTTACAGCCACGCCTACCTTCAAGAAGAAGAAGATGAAGAAGAAGAAGAAGAAATCCGCCTACTCGCTGGCCCCGAACCGAGTCAAGTGCCCGTACTGTCAGAGACCCTTCCCCTGGGCCTCCTCTCTGAATCGTCATATTCTGACACACACCGGACAGAAGCCCTACGAGTGCCGCTTCTGTCCCCTGTTCTTCACTACCAAATCCAACTGTGACCGCCACCTGCTTAGGAAACACAAGAAGCAGGCCACCGAGACTGGGCTCACGCGGGCGGCCAGCGTCTCGTCGCCCGAGCTGCCGCAGGAATCTTCACCCCCCGTTGACGGCGCTGCTACCAACAACGAACTCACCAACAACAACAGCAGTCAACAATCCAGTCAACAAGAACAGGTTGTTGTCGTCAACGGAGCCAACGCGTGCGTTACAGCCGCAACCGCAGTTGCCGCCGTTGCTACAATCAACAACAGCCAGTTCGCCATGAGGAACGTACCCGAGCGGCCCTACAAATGCAAAAAGTGTCCCAGTTCGACCTTCTCGACCTTGGACAACCTCATGAAGCACAAATCGACGAAGCACGCGGCCAACTCGGCGACAAATTCTGGCTCAGAATCGGCAGTATCGACCGAGCCCCAGCACAGCCCTCAGGACTGCTCTTCATCGCAGAAGAGCCAGCAGCAACAGGACTCGTGCTGCGATGAACTCAAAAACAATCAGAGCGGCTCCGAGAGCCAATCGTCCGGCGTCTCGGAGACAGCGATCACAGTCAACAACAACAACAACAACAACGAGATCAACAGCATTTCAGCAACAAAGTCCGCTGTTCCCACCAAAAAGACGTCGCCAAGAGCGTCACCGGGTCTGCCGACCAGCGAGACGCCCTTCAAGTGCCACGTATACATGTGCGACAGCGGTTTCGCCGACAGACAGGACTGCCTCGACCATCTAAAAAACTGTCACGAGGAGGCGTACACTAGGCTCGTCGACAGGGGCGCTCTCGAAAAGGATTACGACGGCAACGACCAGAGCGACGTCGAGGAGACCGCCAGTGCCACAAGACGCGTGCGAGTCGCCGATTACGCCAATAGAAAAGTAAAGACGAGTCCGTTTATTTGTAACGTTTCCCATTTTTTTTTACATCATCATGATTTAAACTAACGATTATGAACTTTGATTTGCACAGGTGATATGCGCCTTCTGCATGCGGCGCTTCTGGTCGGCCGAGGATCTGCGCCGTCACATGAGGACCCATACGGGCGAGCGCCCGTACTTCTGCGACGTGTGCGCGCAACGCTTCACCCTGAAGCACAGTATGCTGCGCCACCGGAAGAAACATGATTCGCCCGACTCGGCGATGTACGTGGGTACGAGCGGCGACGAGGACAGCGCACCCGTCTCGTCCCAGCCGTCCACGGTAGCGCAGCGCCCGTGCCATCAGCAAGTGATCAATTCGTCGTCGACATCGCTGCCACAGATGGCGGGCGTGGCCATGCTGACCTGCGTCGACGCTAGCGAGAATAACGGCCACAGCGATCTGATCTCGAATCTGCTGGGTATTGGAGGTAACGTGGTTGACAAGGCCCTGCAATTGTCCCCCGACGATGCCGCTAAGCTGCTGGGGATCAAGGCGAATCAGGAATGAGGATTGCTCAAGCGCAAGCAAGTCTGCGTCCGTGTAAATTGAGTTTTGTAAATATATATTTTGATGATGTTGAACATTTGGTGTGGATTTGGTATACAATGTCACACGTTACACAATAATGTTAACGTAATTACATTAGACTGGTAGAATTATCGAAGTCGCACCCCCGATCACTCAACTCCTGGTTTTTTTTTTTTTTTTTTTTTTTTTTTTTTTTTTCTTTTCTTCTAAGCGCTTTGGAACAATATCTTACAAGATATATACATATATAAATATATAAGTAACACCTATGTGAACGAGCATCGTTTTTTTCAGTTTTCATTAAAAATTGACAAACTGTAAGTCGCAGTAGAAAACGTCAAATGTAAAAGTTTTAGATTACTTCATTATTTGCAATGGAAATAAAAGTTGAGTTATACGACCAATAGTTAAGTTGGTTTATTTTTTTTCTCAATTTTTATGTTGAACTAATTTTATGGGACTTACACGGATTTTGTACAATACTATTTCGAAGTTATTGAAGAAAAGCATAACAGAAGTTGGGTGATCGAACTTTAAGTTAGCCTTTTGACGTCTCATTCTACTGGTCTATATACTGTAAATTTTCTTCTCATTATAAATTTCTTAGTCTACTACTATTTACATATCACTTACGTTTTCAACCAATAAAATATTGTAAAAAACAAAAAAAAGACAAAAACAAAAAAAAATTCATGCTTGTTGATCGAGAGATACATTAAATTCTTTCTTTGTTGACATAGCACCAATAAATTACCTCATGGTAATCAGTAGGTTGTGCCTACTTCTAACTAGAATGTTTTTCTTTAGATTCGTGCGTAATTACGTGGAGCTGTAATTAGCTCTAAATGTACTTTTTTCTCTCTATACTAACGCAAAAATATGCGTAATGGTAATAGTTATTATTGTAATTTACAATTGTACATAGGAGACGACAGACTTTTTCGTCGTTAAACTGAATTTAGCGATGCTAATTATTTAACTTCAAAAAAAAGTAAATAAACAAATAAATAAAAGAAGTGTGCTCTCAATACCAAATATTCCTAAGCTGTAATAAAATCTTTATTAAATGTCAAACTATTATTTTTATTATAATTATGATCATTATTGTCATTATAATCGTCAAAGAGTATAAAATAAGCCTATCGCTGAGAGGCAGTCCAAAGAAGCCTTAATAACGTAGATAATGTCATTTTGTAGATTGTAAGGGGTGACGCCGGTTAAACGTCGTTGATTATGTGTTTCCGACGTACAAACCGTGCAACACTCGCTCGAATCCAAAGATTTGATTAATCACTTGTATACTAGGTGGATCGTTATACAATTAGTAAAGTATTTAGACCATTAAGTGTATAACTTCTATGACTCGTGAGAATACGTGTAGTAGAGTAAATTAGCAGACGTTAATTATGCGATAGGCCATATGTATTAACCATGTATCGATGGCTTAGGATTTTATATACATACATTTATAAATATAATTACATACATGTGTATACACATATGTTGAAGGAACTATTTTTCTCTCGATTCTTATTATTTTTTTATTACTACTATCATTGAATATTGCAATGACAAAACTATTGTAAGAAAAATTATGCACTAGCGTTATGTCGATTTAAAAGATTTGTATATGTGACGTTGTTTTTAGTCTTTTTTTTTTTATTGTAAATCGAGCGCCTCGATTGTACAGTAGTACAGAGTCGAAAGTTTGTAAAATAAAAGTCATTGATCGTACAAATAAATATGATTGAACATTATAATATTGAGTTATATTTCTTTATTCACAACAGAGTGTATTTATTTTTAAATTTAAACCAGAAATTATTTTGAAAATTTTTCAAAATATTCTTATGACAATAATATTATGCCACGAATGAAATATTTATTTTTTTCGGAACTCTACTTATTCAAAAAATTAAATGATAAATTGAGCAATACATTGCATAACACTTGGACCGGAACTAACATGATTTTTCCGAAATCCAAGTACCTTATCTTCTTATTGTGTGCTTTTTTTCTGACTCATTTTCCATCAATTGAACAATTCTGTATTAAGAAAAAAAAATGACGACCGTACGAATGTAATTCCGTAATAAAAATCCATACAAGATTTAAAAAAAGAAAAAAAAACAGAATTTAAATTAAAAATTTTGCAAGATGTGATAAAGTCCATTGATCAATAATTGAAAAACAATTCAAAATTCGCAGTGAAAATTAAATAATTCACGATTTCATTTCCGGACTCGTTAAATTAGAGGTTACATTTAATTAATTTTGTCAACCCCTCAAAATACCAAAAAAAACCATGACTTATTTTTACCAAAATTTCTCAAGAGCACTCAGATCATTCGTCACTTTCTCGAAAAGCATAAAAAATGTCCCAGAGCGTCACCTGAAAATCACATCACCACGAAAATCGAACATGTCCAGAAAATCGCCCAAGCCGTCACGTCTTGCCGAAAACTCCGACCAAAACAGTGGTAAGTTCACTGACTCGCGCATCCAACTATTGCTCACAAACAACGCACTCTGTATCATTATCATTTAAGGCCCAAACAATGGGACAGCGGGCATTTACGGCCATCCAGATTTGACAGCTGTGGTCGAAATCGTCAAGAACAAATTTTACCTCGCCACTCTGTTACCGGGCACACGAAATCCCGAGAGCCCAACGGCGGATACCTACTTGTTCGAGACCGATACCTACTTGACGTACAAGAATTTTTACGATGACTTTGGGCCACTCAACTTGGCCTGTCTGTACAAGTAAAGTGTTGTTTTTTGTTTTCTTCTTCTTCTTTTCAATAATAATTGTGCCCTAGATTTTTTTTTTATTTACCAACATGACACAGGTACTGTCGAGAGGTCAACAAAGTCCTGGCGAATCCCCGTTTCAAGCTAATCGTGCATTACACGTCGTCGAACGCCAAGCTGAGGGCGAACGCTGTTTACCTCGCGGCTTCCTACTCAGTTTTGTATTTGGACCAATCGCCGAGTGACGTTTACAAATCGATGCGGGGTGACGTTGGAGTGATGCTCAGACCGTTTCAGGACGCGTCGATCGGCATCTCGCGCTATACCATCGATCTTCTGGGTGTGTCTTTGATTCCTGGTTTTCCTTCATTGTAGAGCATTATTTTTTACTGGAAACTAAGTACTATTTCCACCATAAATAATGAAAAAATCGTGCTTGTGAAAAATATTTGAAAAATAATGTCCATCCTCAAGTTCCTCAAACTATGTGAGCTCCACAAAAACTAAAAAAAAAAAGGTTCCGATTGAAAAATAATTTATTTAAATTATTACCTTCGGGGCTTGAACAATGCGATGGAACTCGCGTGAAAAATGAAAGTTAATTTATAGGATGTTTCATTGACTTTTTTTTTTTTTTTTTTTTTTTTTTTCGTAAAATTGATGAAAGAAAAGAGCACGTCAAGTACTTATGACGTGGTGTGAAAAATAATAATTTTTTTGCAAAACTTCTCCAATCCCGTGGGTCGAAATGAAAAAATGACCTTGCCTTCCTCGGGACCAGACTGCCTGAACGCGCTCAAAAAATCCGCGTCGCTGGGTTTCTTCGACTTCGAGGACTTCGACGTGCACGACTACGAGAAATACGGGAAGATCCGCAACGGCGACCTCAACTGGATCGTCCCCAGGAAATTCATCGCCTTCCTGGGCCCGAGCACCGAGCCCGGCACCGCGCTCCACTACCCCGAAAAGTATTTGAACTACTTCATGAAAAACGACGTCGCCACCGTCCTCAGACTCAACAAGGCCAACTACGAAGCTCACAGGCACGCCACGCCCCACACCAAACGTATATATTGTTACAAATGAGGGAGGCTTTTTTGAGAAACAATGTGGTCGTCTTAGGTTCACGAGTGCCGGAATTCTGCACTACGAGATGTACTTCCCGGACGGTTCGACGCCGCCGATGAACGTCCTGAGGGAGTTTTTGCACGTGGCCGAGAGCACGCGAGGCACCCTGGCGGTGCACTGCAAGGTACATGTATAGGTACACAAGTATATAACCTATACATTTTCGCTTGCCGGTGCAATATCGAATCCGGTTGTGCTAGGCAGGCTGGACTTGGACGCACGGGTACGCTGATCGCGGCGTACATGATGAAGCACTACATGTTCTCGGCGCGGGAAGCTGTCGCGTGGCTGAGGATCTGCCGGCCTGGTTCTGTCATCGGGGCGCAGCAAGTGTGGCTGGAGAGCATCCAAGGGGACATGTGGCGGGAGGGCCGACAATTCAGGTGGGGCTCTCGAGTACCTACAACTTCACAATCGTCCCGGGACTTATTTACCACTAGTACAATCTTATTGATGCTACGGCTCTTTTTTCATTCCCCCCCCCCCCCAAGTGAAATATAAAAATGATCAGACTGCAATGTTTCGAAGAATTTTCATCATTCAGTCGCGGTACCTACTGTGTCTTGTCTTCAAAGGACCAAGTACTCGCGTAGTATTTGAAACATAACCATTGCCGCTTATTTTGTCCGGAGACAAGATGAAAGATGAAGATTTTTCCGTTTGGTTGAAACGCTCGTTTTGAAATTTCAGGCTTAAGTACCACGGGGACGATAATTTGATACTCCACCACAAGAGAGGTATATACTCGATAGCCGAAAAGTTGGATAAAAAGGCCAGGCTGGACGAGCGGCGTTTCGAGAGAAGGTGTTTGTTGGCAACCAGAGGAAGTACGAGCTGAAATTTTGCATTACAAACCATAAGGTGTCATCGACGCGCAAATTAAATATATACCCCTACATCTTGTAGGAAAAAATTACCTTGAGGATCGCGAGGCGTTGGGTACGAAGGCACAGCGCCCGTCATCTGCTCGAGATGAAGAAAATCGGTGTAAAATTTGCCGATCGGCAGACCGAGAGACGATTAAACGCGCACGCAATACGTCTACGACGACTCAAGGTGGCGAATGGAACAGTATAAAAATGAAAAGAAACGATAATATGTATGGAACGCCCAATGAGAGTCGTTTTGCACGTGATACTTGATAATTAATACATGTACATGAAAACAGGTCGAATCGTTTTGGCATACTGCAAATATTGATCTGTCACAAAAAAATACATAATTTTCGAATGGTCGGATATCTAGTGCATTATAGTATATTTGTGTATAAGTATGGCGGTAGATTAGATTTGTTGTTGGTTTTCTTGGAAACTCGATTAGAAATCACGTTGACTTCAAACAAGGCCACGTCGCAATATAATTGCCGATTGCACGTATACAAACACTTGCGTGACCTTTTTCTTACTGATGAAACAAAAATATTCGCACTTGCGTCTCCATACAAAAGTAAATGAATTCTTATAATCTCGCAAATGACAGTTTCAGTTGACTACTCTTATTCAATATCCATTGGTCCAAATTATGCCTCGTTTATGATATAAACTAATCTATATGGTACTAATTGAATTCTGATACAGTGTGGCAGCTGGTTTAGATTTTCGACCACCCTTGGACCTGAGCTATTGGTCTGATACTGAGAGAAAATTAAATAATGAATAAAATAATTATTTAATTTACAATCAGCGTCATCTAGCGTTGCGGATTTCTGAACTAAAAAGTGGCCCTAGAATTCTGAACGAGAGCTTTGGGCAGTTTAGGCCCCAGAGCCATTTAGTCAAGTATAAACCAGCCGCAACTTATCAAAAAGATACAAAATAAATAGCTAACGATGTCTGTACTATTTGCGGCAAGTTTACAATTTATCTTCCACCCGAATATCGACTTTTTTAATATTTACACTTTCGGGTAATAGGTAAATTGTAAACTTGCCGCAAATAACACAAACAATGTTAACTTTTGATTTTGTATCTCTTTGATGAGTTGCGGCTGGTTTATAAGTAACTAAATGGCTCTAGGGCTAAGCTGCCTAAAGCTCTCCTTCAGAATTTCAGAAGCAATTTTTGGCCAAAAAAATCACGACCGCTAGATGGCGCTGATGCAAATGATTATTACTACTTATATAGTAGAGCAATTTAATTAATGATAAACCAGCCGCAACTAATTGGATAGATGCAAAATAAAAATTTAACGATGTTTGTACTGTTTGCGGCAAGTTTGCAATGTATCTTTTAACTGAAAGTATAAATATATAGGAGGTCGATATTCGTGTAAAAGATACATTGCAAACTTGCCGCAAACAGCACAAACATCGTTAATCATTTATTTTATATCTATACACAAAGTTGAGGCTGGTTTATGATTGACTAAATGGCTCTAGGGCTAAACTGCCTAAAGCTCTCCTTCAGAATTTCAGAAGCAATTTTTGGCCAAAAAAATCACGACCGCTAGATGGCGCTGATACAAATGATTATTACTACTTATAGTAATGCCATTTAGTCAATTATAAACCAGCCGCAACTTATTTATCAGATACAAAATGATAAATTAACATTGTTAATGCTATTTGCGGCAAGTTTGCAATGTATCTTTTACACGAATATCGACCTCCTATATATTTATACTTTCGGGTAAAAGATACATTGCAAACTTGCCGCAAACAGCACAAACATCGTTAACTATT